AAACGGAAAAACCATTTCAGTGCTGTACACTTATCCGGGTAATTTTATCGTCAAATGTTTATAGTTATAGGCCTAACAAAAAAGGAATAGCAGATAAGATTATTATCTCTGTATTTAATACAGATGAACGTTAGTGGCTCAGATAAATCCAAAATAACAAGCTTTTGAGAAACCTTAGATTCATAAACAAAAGTCGAATCTGATCTTAAAGTTAAATAAAAATGTTTCATACCACCAAGATTTATGAATTCCATTGCGTGAACTAACCGTTAAATAGCTGATAGAAGAATCAGGTTTCCAATAATGAAGTTATTATGACATAAATGTTTCAAAACTCGCAGTACATTTGTGTACTTAACTCCCTAGATTCACAAAGATAAAAGTCCTCTAAAGGCTTATGTCATTTTTATTTCACGAAAGTAACTCAGATCCAATAACATAGAAATGTCATAATTCCCATCTAAATGATTTTTGACATTCTTAACTTTCCTGTAAATAAAATGATAATCAAATAAATTAGATTTACCACATAGGAACAACTTAAAAACTGACTGAAACAGTGACTTCCAAATCGGCTGTCTTCAGTCGGAAACATTGCTTGCACTGGTTTCATAATACAGTGAGGAAAAAGCTTGCATTTTTTTCATTTGCGAGTGTGGTATGCACCAAGACAAGAGTTTGATAAAACGGAAAACAAATCGAAATTGTATTAACGTGTCCCTATTCTGTTTCTGTATTAGCTGTGAATATATTGTATGTAAAAATCATGCACTATCATGAATAGTTAGTTATATTGCAAAAGTCATTATTTTTGTCCCTTTAATTTTACAGAATCAACTCATGTCCCATGTTTTTATCTAATGCTGCACTTTTCCAAATGAAATCAACAGAATACCTTTAACAAAGCAGTCTGTATGCATATAACATTAAGATGAAAATAACAAATCTACTCATAAGCTGACCAAATCAAGTACAATGAGAGTTATAAAAATGGGACATAGTTTTCTAGATGAGTTAGAAGAATTCACATTGTTGAAACTTTCATTAATTAAAGATTACCAGTTTCATTTGCAGAAAGACACCAGGAGGTTAATATATATATATATATTCGAACAGGTAGATGATATAAGTTTCTTGAGTCAAAACTCATCCATTTAACACGCTTTTTTCAATATTTTTGGACAATAAGTTAATTCTTTTTCCAAGATATTGTTAATATACCATCTCATCAAGGTGTGAAAGTTCTAGTCACCTAAAATTTTGGCTGCTCATTCCCAATTTAGTTGATATAATGAATTCCTTTCTTTATGTGGAGATGTGGAAGAAATGCAAATAACATATTTAAACTGTCATTTTTGACGGGCTATTTTGTATATGCCTAAAAAATTCTAAAAAATAAGTTATTTTACAGAATTTGTTGGATGATTTCATCATGAGCTGACATATCAGTTAGAGAACCATTGAAAAATTAACTTTCTGAATATTTAGAAATTACTATCATTTGTTTGTAAAAACCTACCATTTATTTTCCAACCTAAAAATGTCATGTATATGTGACTCTTTGCATGTGATGAAAAGCTGACGACAAAAGTTATGTTGATGTGCCAGGATTATGATTGAACCAGAATTCAGAAATGTGGATTCTAATGTATTGAAACAAGGTAGCAACACGTCTGATACTAGTCTTTCATTTTATTCAACCGGAAACTCATATGTATCTTTTCCTGCATGGTTTCAAGGAGTACGTTGGCCACTAAAATGTAACCAGTGTGGTATATCCAGTGCTGACTAAATTCGGTCAGTCTAGTAGATTGGACAGTGTTTGGACAACCCGTCTTTGTAAAAGATTATCACTACAATAACAGTAATACACGTAACACTCACATTTGTGTCATGGTCACTAACTTACTGAAAATGTTTTAGTTAAGATGAAGGTTAATTTTAAAATACACAGTTTAGTAACTTTAGAAATTTTTATTTTGGGTGATCTGATGGTAAAAAAATCTGGTTAAATCTAATGTTTTACGGAACTACAGACAAAATTCTTCTGGTGATAAACACGCTCATTATTCTCAGTGTAGCTGACCGTTTTACGCATCTACTTTGATCGTTTACTGGCAAACCACTAACATTATCGGTCGACACGTTGTTTGTTATGAGGCTAAATAATTGTCTTTCTAAACCAATAGACTTGAGAGTCACATCAGTTTCTAATGTAGCCAAGAGTATTTTGTATTGACTGTTTTCGCTTGTTATAAGGTTGATTTATTTTAGTCAGTTTAACGCCGCATTCATTCTGTTTGTGTCACTTGACTCATATTGGTAGTATGATTAAATCAGTGAGGTAGCCAATTTTCCACCCATAAAAATACATCTCATTTGCTCTATCTCACGTGATTTGAATCATCCACTTACATTCTCGAATCGAAATATGTACTAACACCCGTATTTAAATAGGTTTCAATCTACTGCTATTGTCCAGTATTCAGAATAACGACCTTGGAGTTAGAACACACCGATGACCTTGGACGTGTAACTTTCGTTGGACTATAGAACCTGAGCCAATATGAACGCTGTGCACGAACTGAGGTTTAAATTTCATCCTGATCTAGTTTTTAAGTACTACTTGGACGATGGATTGATAGCACGTTAGGGTTAGGGCCAAGTTAAGGATTAGGTGTGGGGTGAGAATTGGAGTTTGGCTGTTTTATTGCTATTATATATACTCTTTGGTAAATAAGTAAATGTCAGGATAGTGTGTCGTCTTTGATTTGAAACTTAAGCTGATACACTTCATTGTGATTAGGAAGTATTCTTAATTTATGTTAGTGCAAACTATCGTCTTTAATGTGTTTTATTATTATTGTGTGTATTTTTCTCGTAAATAAATGGCTTTTTCTCATTTGTTGTCTCAAGGTCACCCGTGAGTTTGCACACCCTGGTTCCCGCTACCTAATGAAAACAAAGCCTGTAAAGAATGAATACTTACTGATGTTTTGTTTTCTTTCCTTCCAGGAAGAGACTTGGGAATTAATGCTCTTGCAAAAGAGATATAACTATTTCAGAGACTTAACATTAGCAAGGACAAGAAAGCGTGGCATATTTTGAAGGCTGTATCAGATAACCTCTTGCTCAGCTTGTCTTCTGCCTCGGCCATTTGTCTGTTACGCTGTGGATTTTTCAAAGAAAATAAAGCAAATACATTGCGGTTTGTTAGAGCTTGCTTTGGATGGATTAATATTGCTTTGAGTGATAGATTACTGGTAGTTAATTTATCCAAAAATTCCAAACAAGGAGGGAGGAATTTCCCAGAATAAAGCTACTATTATTGATAAATAATACATAAGTAATAAAAGCTGACTAAATTATATTCTATAATGGCTAAGTCTACTAAATTTTTAACATGGTTGAAGTATATTTCAGAAGTTTAGTACAATGTCCAACAAAGACACATTAGCTAGTATTTTAAAGAACCAATGCTAATTTACCTTTTCGGCGATCTACACTTTGCAAGTGCACTTTGAGGAATGGAAATGTTATCAAACCTCTTCAAAAATAATGTGAAACTGATGCTGTAAATTCTGCTTAATTTAAATATTTTAATAAAAGCAGTTTAACTCAAGCACTGAGGTAGTGAATTATCCTAACCACTTAGTTTGCTTTTCTACTTGTGGTATTAGCTGATAACAAAGCTGAACCATGTCAGAATTGCCATGGTGAACGGAAATTCAGCCTCAGTGACCACCCGTTAACCTTTGCATCATCTCCGACTGTGAATTTATTTATTTTTTATTTTTTGATTACAGCTTGATTCCACACCGTATTTTTGGTACAAGTATGGAATTTTCAGCATGGATATCGGTAGCCCAAATTTTGCAGGCCGACCATAGATATCAGGTGTGCATCGGCAGCGGATCGAACCTCGGACCATGTGCATGGCCGACGAGAGTCCTAACCACTGTGCCACCAACGCAAGCTATCAGGCAAGCAGCTCTTAATTGTGTCTTACCATTGGCAATGAAATGACACATTATCCTACATTTAGCGGTACTTAACAGAAAATCAGGCATAATATTTCTAAATTGATGGGTTACTCTGAGGTATAATTTAAGAAATGACTGCTTGAGATTTAGTCAAGTCAGTCTTCTTAGGCTTTTCTAGAAAAATATTAGATAACTAAGTACCAAGGGACCTCAAGTGTGCGTCGGTGGCATAGTGGTTAAGACGCTCGCCGACCATGCACATGGTCTGGGGTTCGATACCCGGCCACAGACGCACTCTTTTACCTCTCTAAGCCAGAAGTAATGCTAGTAAAGACGAAAGGTTGGGCATGAGGCCAGCAACCCCATCCTGTAAAATTCAACACTACTACAGAAACTTCAAGCTGCTAACTTGAAGCTCTATGTTCCTCTGGGAGTGTGAAGGAAAAATTATTATTACTGTTAAGAGGCCTCAAAACCGTCTTTCCACTACTAAAAAAGTGGACACACAGCCTCAGAGGTAGTAAAGATACTGCTAGGTGTTAAGTAGAGAATGACATGATCAATGTGCTGGAATTTCCTACTAGAGATCCAGAATCAAGTTTCCATTTTTCACTTGCTAAACAAATTTAATTTCAGAACAGCTAAAATAACACAAGTATTTTAGACGGAATCAATACGATTTGACTGCTTCAATGGTTTCTAAGTGTTTGGGTGAGTGAACATTAGACATTTCTAGACACCCTTCAAATAGACGTGACTATAGTTCTAATTTTGAGATTTTCAAATGCTATTTACGCCCTAGTGTGCAGTTACATGACTCAGTTCCCTCAGATTATACTTAACAACCTTTATTCTTTGTACACAAAAGACTTCTTGTAACTAGTACAGTATATTAACTGGACGTCAACACAGTGTATTTCCTAAACTTGTAGTCAAATCCTGCTAAAACAGTTAGAAACCAATTTAATTTTGGCACTTTAGCAGATGAATTGATCATTTTTTTTACCATTTTTGTAGCTTATAATGAATCACATTTTGAGTATTTTTGTAAAGGTGTTGTTTTTTTGAATTTGCTGCAGTTGCTAACGTTAAATGGAAATATTATTTATTCACCTATATTACGTGTACCACGTTATCATTGTCGGTTGTCATTTGTTTATGATATTCGTTATTTTGAAAATTTCTGTAACCGGGTAAATTTGTCTCTTAAATTCTAGATGATTTGAAATTTTCATTCATTTCTTGTTGCAGTGATTTAAAAATTTTTAAATCTGTCTGTAAAAAAACTGTTAGACAGGAGATTCGGTATTACTGTTAACAAGCTGTTTTACTGGCATGCGGTAATATTTGCAGTTGTTTTCTTGGTTACCCCAAATGTGAGAAGTTCAGATGAAGGCTTAATCAGTTGCCATTTGAAAAATGGAGAAAGCAATGCTTTACTTATTAATATCTACACCAGTGTGGATTGTACTTAAACATCCAGAAGCCATTTGATTGGGGAAAATCTACGACATAAATAAAAATCCTGATCAAGCTATTAGACTTACACACTTAAGCTGAAGTTGAAGAAGGTCTAAAGCACTTACACTAGGTAACCGTTGTATTAATTCTTAAAATTCAAGGTGATAAGGAATTTAAGGTTAGCGTCAAGAAATGTCAGCAACCTACTGCAACATTCTCAAAGTATCGTAGCCTGACTACACCAACATGTCATATGAAGAAACATCATTCTTCTGAAAATTAGACAACGAAATTTACAACGTAAGCGAAAGTTATTATTAATCCAACTGTTTTGATGTTTTCATTCAAGAAAAAATAGTGACCTTATACCAGTGATGAAATGTTAGTATGTTCACAAATAATGTGTTTGGTTGACCTCTTACTGATGAATAGGAAGGAGTGTTCAAAGTATTCCTTTGTGGATTTCATAAAAGTCAGTTAAGTTTTAGCTGTATACCCGATAACAACTAATATCTACTAAACAGAAGATTACATATTTCACTCAGAGAAAAAGTGTCATTCTGTGATGTTCTGAATTGCCGAAACGATTCTAGCTATAATATTTAAAACGAAGGACTTTCAACTTCGATATCAGTGAGAATGTCATCATACTAGAATATCAGTATGTCCACCTGATGAATAGCCAGTCAGAATAAACTATCCTGACGAACTATTCTTATTCAGAAAAATGGCATCAGTAAACCTCTTTTCTAAAGCAAAATGCCATCCTGTAGAGAAATTATGAACCATCATATACTGTCGTCTGAACACTTACGTATGTTTGTAAAAGAATACTAAGTTTCCCGTTTGAGCCACAACCAATGAACATTTTTTAACCAAAAGGGAATACACAAATGTAACTTTCGTATCCCGAAACACAAACAAAGGAATAATACCTGTTGAGTGTGTTTAAATATATATATACTTGAAATGTATTTTTAAAAAACCTAAAATGATTATAATTATTCACACTCGACTTTTGAAGAGAATGAAATAAATTTAATGACATTACTTGTAATGAATCATTAGAAAGAAATGTAAACTTTTTACCTTGTGAGCCTATGCTCTCAGTGGTCATTTTCAGTGCGTTATAAATTATCCAGTTTTCTGTGACACTTTATTGTGAAAACAAAACACGTAGATCAGCGAAGAGTCTCTTTTCGACAAATTCATTTTCTAAGCTGTACAATCGCAAATATATATGTGTTGTTTTGTATGTATGTGTACATTAAGTTTGTCAAACAAAATTACAGTTGGTTATGGTTATGCATCTGGCCACTTCTATGTGCATATATCAGTTCACCTGCTGCTGTGGAGCCAGGTACATCGGTCGTTCGACGCGAATCCTGTCCAAGAGGATTTAAGAACACTATCCAGCATGGTTGAGATAAGGCAACAGTGATGCAACAGGGAGTGCGATAATTGAACACCTGGTTAACGCTGATCATTCCATTTTAACAAACGCTTTCTTCAAAGTAATCTGCAGAGTCAAGAATAACCTATCAAAGTCAATACGGTTTCGTCTTCTTTGTATCGCTGAAACTCTCTCCATTCACATAGAAAAACCGGAGCTGTGCATACAAAAGAGGATTACTCAACCACTTCTACTGTCGTGGTAACAACTTTTTTGATTTGATTTGAGTTTTTTTCATTTTGATGACTTAATTTCGTTCCTTTGCTTGTTCTTTAATTGCTTAGAATTCTTGTATTCATTCAGATTTCTTAAGTCATTTCGTATCTTCTTTGTTTCTATGTTCATCCTGAGTAAAACTCACTCATCAAACTATTCATATTATTATTACATAACTTCTTTTAACAACTGTTTGTGACAGCTCATCACCTTTGTTACTACCCTAGCTTCATTAACACTTAATTTTCTTGACTTGTATTACCAACCTTCACCTGTCTAGTTAAAGGTAACCTTAACCAATTGTAATTTTGTTTGACAAACTTAATGTACACGTACATACAAAACAACACATATATATTTGCAATTGTACAGCTAAGAAAATGAATTTGTCGAAAAGAGACTCTTTGCTGATCTACGTGTTTTGTTTTCATTAATGCGTGGATAGGGATTATCCATGAATTGAAACACTTTGTTGTAGCAATATAACAGACAAACTAAACGTAATTCTGACGACGTGATGAGATTATAAATGCTATAGTTATTTACATTAATTGATTTATATTATAAAAAAGAGAGTGAAGAAGGATGATAATACTGAAAGCTCATCTTCATTGTCCTAAGTCATTCCTTACAGCCACAAGTAACAAATAGGTCAAAATATGAAAATATGTAGTGAAAATTGAGATGGGAAATTATTTATTTTTCAGTTGCTCTTATAGTTAGAGAACAAAGTAATTTTTAATGTATGTTTTGAAAATGTTAGTCATTGATGATTGAAGAAATTCAGTTCAAATTAGTGGATAAGACAATAGCTTGTCACAGGAGAAACTGAAGTTGGAAAACCTGACTTAGATCATTGATTTCATCAATTCAGTTGTTAAGATTTATTATGAGACGAGATCCGTTAGAGAACCAATGAACACCAGTGAATACTCAACAGCTTTTTAGTTCTAATTGAGTATTCTTCAACAGTACACATAAATGAACCCACTAGAAATGGAAAATAGGGACTTCACGTCATGAGTCAAACTTGTTAGATGCATTCCAACAACTCATGAATTTTAACCTCTATGAATTCATGATGTACTGCAAGCTCCATCCAGAGTGATGAAATCTACCTTGAAGTCAATAAAACCTTCACAAATCAGAACTTTAAATGGTTGAATTCTAGCCTAATAAGTAAGTGGATTACTCGTGACTCTTGAATGACAGACAGACAAGGTACATAGATGCATTACTGAATGCCGAATAGGACTTAGGTTTAAACTCTAGAACAGACTTAACATCTTTGTGGTGCTGTCTCATTCTATTAACAAAAAACTTGAAAATTTAAAAATGAATATATTGTGGTTTTATTTCAGTGATTGTTTATAACGATATAGAGTAATCAAGCGACAAATGCCTATTGTTTGTTCATTGTGCAAGTTGTCTGCTTCTTCTATCATCTTATTACTTTTTCTCTCTTCTATTTTAGGAACTATTTTATCATCTACATAAGATAGTCGAAAACATCTGTTTTCAGATATGTGTTGATTGGTAACATGAATGCCTCAGGTAACTTTCCATCATGTTCACCTAATCAGTGTGAATTAACCTAAAGATTAGTTGTAGTGATTATCAATTTCTATTGCTTTATTGTTTAAATGCGTGCTGTTGTTAATATTTATTAGATAAATCACCATTAGTTCTGCCAAATACTAATTCCTAAATTCTACTCAGTCCGTGTTGTTGTTTGGTTTCCTGTGATTCGGTCATTGCAAAATTATACTAAAAATAACTATTACATTAGATTTAATAAACCGATAGCTGGGGCTATAGCAGAAACAAACAATTCTCCCAAGTAGATGTATCTTCTTTACAAACATTAGACCATAGAATTTTAAAAGGAGAATCGACTTTTCAGTCTAGGTATATACAACTTGGTTGTTGCACGGTAAAGATATCATCTTTCCAGTCCTAAGTGTATTGGTCGATGTAATGTGTAATGATCCTTGCAATCTGAGCTGTTTTTAATGTTGTATACTGTGGTTCACTGTCATCTGATGCGGAATACTTAGAATCAATTTCAATGGTTAGTTTACAGGGATTTAACTCATTTCAAGTTAGATCATTATCACTCCTGTGGCCATCGGTGAGTATTGCTAAAATATCCGATAGCATAATGAAACAACTATGCAATACTCCCTTGTTTTCAATGGTTCTCTAATTGGTGTTGGTTTGTCATCTAACTGGAAATATTACGAACCAACTTTCAGGAGTAGGTTACTGCTGAAGTACGTGGGTTTCGCACTGAGCAATGCAGGTTAAGATTGTTTTAGAAGTATGAATTTCTTAATGGTTGTTGATAAGAGTTGCTGATTATGGCTAACGAGAATAAAGCCAATTTTCATTGTCTTCTGCCAGTTCTCTACAACTTTATATGATCATTAATTTTTCCTGACTGTTTTACCTGTCAGAAGACGAGTGGAATCATTAGTTAACTAGTTTAATACATAATCTTTTTTTCTCTTTAAACCTTAAGGGTTTCAGATAGTGTTATTTTGTATCGAAAACAACTTACATAAATATTAGTCTGTTTTGCTTAAAAACTAGAGATACAGAAAAGGAAAGCAAAATATAAGGTGTAATAGGCTAAATAGTGACTGGTTCTTCGAGTAGCGTTTCTAGTGCCCACCCCCACCACTAGAGAGTAGTCCATGTCATAAAGTGAGGATTCAAATGATAAGTCAAGTCTGTTAAATGATTTTTCGGATTCTGTTAACCAGCTAGGCGAGTGAAGAACCCGGTCATTTAGACATGGAGTGCTCTACAGTACATCCTATATCCATCTTATACGCGAATACTAATCATCTGAATTCGTCTATGTACACGAAAATGACTATTCATTTTTTTAGATTCAGGCGGTAATCTTTAGAAACGTATAGAGAGAATAGCCTTCAAACTGTTTACATCATAATATTCCTTCAAAATGGTGAAGTGACTTTACAGATCACAAAGCGTACACTCCAAGTTTGGAATCTCATCACAATAAAAATTTTTCCAAAATTACGGACAGACGATGGTAATAACTGTTATTTTTTTAACATTAGTTATCAAACTGTTGAGCTGCAGGAGATGATTGGATAAAAAAAAGGTGTTTTCGCTAGGTTATTTTCTTCTATGTCCGGAGAAAAATGCAACTCTAATTAGCTTTATTTTTACACTGTTAGATTACAGTAGTAGGCACTATGGGAGAAATATTAGAATTTAGAATATTACGTGATCGACATCAAAATAACTAAAACTAATTCCACATAAAGCCCATCTGATACGATTTCTGGAGATGAACACCTATCATTGCTTTGTTAACGCTTTTATGCGTCTGTATCTGCGTAAAACCACCTCTTTTTATATGATGGAAGTTAAAAGTACATACTTCAAGATGTCAGTCAAACTGGTAAACAAACAAATGCTGACTACAGAAAATATCTATAGCTGATTGATGAAAAATGCCAGAACGCCGTTAAATAAATTGACTACAACCTACGTTGTGGTAATGCAATGTGTATAGTGATTCAACACACGGCAAACCGACCTAATAGATGTATAGTGAAAGAATGGATTTCTTTCAAAATACTCATCAAATTGTTTTCTAAACGGTTATACTTTTTAAGAAAGAAAGTACCACTTATTTCGGCATCACCATTGGCCATAGATTAAAATTATTCCGAGTACATACACTTAATTTTTTTTTGTAACATGATAATTAAAGTAGTCAAATCTTTTTCCAGGTGTCTAGTTTTACAACAGTCTTCGTGTCAAAAATGTTAAGTAGAAATGCTAGTCATATCTCAGGGTTTATTATTATTTATTATTATTGTTCCCTTAGGTTCCTAGTGGAACATAGGTCTTCAACTGCACGTCTCCATTTGCTTCTGTCTTCTGCTGTACTTTTCACCTGCATCCATGTTAATTCATACTCTTTCAGCTCCTCTTCACACGATATCCTCCATGTCACCCTTGCACCGACGTCCCACTCGCCGCTTCCCTTTCGGCCTGGTTCCACTCGAGCAATGGCCTGACGCGCACGCGATGTCACCCAGCGGTCTCCTCAGCGAGTGTCCGGTCCATCTCCACATTCTCCTGCATATTTGTTGGGCGATCGCTTCTTGTTTTGTTTGTTCCCATAGTTTCTTGTTGGTGATTCTTTCCAGCCCGGACATCTGATCTTCAGTAAAGAGCGAAGACAGTTGGGTTTAACACTCAGGGTTTATCACTCAGCAATTAAGGTGGGTGACAGATTTTAGAAGTGGAAATTTTCAAGAAGTCAGCAGATCTTATGTGTTTTTTTTTCTCATGTTTTACAGTGGATGGACTAACTGATACCAAAACACTTGAAGGGAAACAAGAAAATGGCTGTATTGCAGCTGGTTGCCTGAAAGAGACTAATTTTTTGAATTATGAAAGAAAAGTGTGTTTGATATTATTATATACATGTATAATCTCTTCTGTGTTTTTCGATTAGATGCATTACATTACACTAAATATATAGACCTCTACTTATAAATGTGAGCAAGCTAACTGTTTAATGATGGACTGTCTCTATCATTCCGCATTTCACAGTTCATACTCCATCTTCAAACTCAATCCAGAATACATAGTTGTCACGATTGACTATCAGGTTAACAAAGGTATACTAATATTCGAAAACAGTCAAGTGTCTTTATGAGAATTTATGTGCAGTTGTCTTCCATGAAGCATGTTTCCTGATAATTAGCAGTGTGTGTGAATCACATTTGATAAGAATGACTGGTGTTTGCACGAAACAAAGCACTTCTGTTGTAACAGCAATGACTATAGATACTTTAAAAGAAGAAAGGATGGCGCCTAATGCTCAGCAGAATAAAGATCTATTACAACTAAAATGAAACAATTCTTTATCCCCTTCTAACAAAGGTTTACATTTTACGGATGTGTGGTGACAGACAAAGAGCAAACGAAGGGAACTAAGTGAAGCATTTATGTATCACTTGTAATGTGCATAAATTGTTTTATTTTTAGAACGATCAACATTTTCACATCTATTTATTTATACTGATTTCTTGAGTACGCTCCAGAAGTGTATCGTCCAAACTACTGCTAATATTCCTTGGCCGAAGAACTTTAGCTAGCGATTACTATAGTCACTTATGTAACACAAGGACATTCATTACAAATCAAGTGAGTAATATTCATAAGAATCAAAGTAGGAAGTCACTAGCGAGCATCAGATTAATTTTCAAGAGTTGGTTTGTAAGGATTAAATTTATTACAGGACGGAGTTTCCTGGAGTTCTGGTGAGAAGTCGTCGCCAGTGAAGTTCAACCAGTTAAGTGTGAGAATGGATTTCTCGCAGATGACATTGGTTGGTGGTCGCGGTAGATCATGAATTGCTAGAAGTTAGAATTCATGGGACATTGAATCAACCGGGTCCTAGTGGCTGAATGGTATACGACCTCACCTTGTAACCGGAAGATCCTGGGTTCAAACCCCAGTGGATGCGTACTGCCGATGATTCCCAAACTAGGATGAAACAGCAGCTGTCCAGTACTCCCTGGTTTTCAATGGTCCTCTAACTAATATCAATCCGTGGTCAAACTCGTAAAAACAAATTTAATCTTTACAAATCAAATTTTGAAAATAACTTTTCATTGACTAAATAATTAGCAACAGACGTGCGATTTCATACCCCGTTTTTATGACTTACAGTCTAACGAGTGGTAGTTAAAGATAAATAAACTTTATTCAGTACTCCTAACGTCCGAAATGATAGTAAATATTTTGGCTAAGAAAGTATAAGACTCATAAATGAAGCAGGAAGCCATGTTCATGTTGCAAAAATCGGGTTCTATGAAGTTTATTTTTTTTTAATGAACTTGAAATACATCAATAAGTGAATGTAAGTTTTGTTAAATATTCCAAATCATAATCGGTCACATGGCTATCATCTAACTTGAAACAACTTTCGCTATGATTCCTATTATTATTTCAAGATATTTATGCAAATCTTTTAACCGATCCTGTCAATTTTATGAAATGCTAATCATTTTGGTATCTGATTATCACAAAAACGAAACAGCATGACAACAAAAGTAGGTCGGAAGCAATTTTATGACTGCCATATCCACACATATGTAATCACAGGAATAGTGAGTCGTGTGAAGATCTGTAAAGAGAAGAAAACAATATTTTTAGCAGACAACTTCTAATGTATTATTTACGTTCCAAGTTAGTTTTACTTCCAGAGGAATGTTAGTCAGTAAACTAATGGATAATAAAAATCATTAAAGTGAGACTTTATTTTATTTCGACTTCATGCAGATTCTGATGATTTCAAATTTTATATTATTTATTTTACTGGTTTTCTGAAAATGTTTACAGCATATAAAGCAAGTCTTTATTCAAACAAGAGAAATTAAGGTAATTAGTCATCAATATAAAAAGCACGAAGAGAAATAGGCCAAAGAAAAGTGTGAATATTAGTAGAATGTGAATGATTTGCTTAAATAACTTTTTAATGTAAGGATGTTGGTTAT